GTGTCACGGGAGGTGTCTTAACATAAAAACATATATATATATATATATATATATATATACCGTAGAGATAGATAGATAGATATAAAACACAAAACATGAAACACGGACAGTCAAGCAATCTACGCCACTTTTCCTGCCTACACTTTGTTTGAAACAGTTCTAGATGAAAGAGGAGAGAATCAAAGTGTCCTTTCACCAGTGCATCAGAGACGTCATTAGCCAGAAAATGACATGATATCAAAAACAGACCCAGTGAATGATTTTAAGAACACGTGAAACATCTCAAAATTATGAACTTTGAATGTAATCACCGCATCTTATGTATAATTTAAATATATTTGTATGTTGGTAGTACACAGTTTTTCTCGTTCTGCTTAATGCAACATGGAAATGGACATGGGCTCATTTGTCAACTGAAATGAGTATGCCGATAAAACACAGACACTGTCATAAGAAGGAGCCACTCTTCAGTAGCTCACAGAATACATGTACAGTATATTATGACCTACTTATAGTGGAAGCTTGAAGCCAGTTTGATTCATTTTGCATGCTGTGACACACCCAGGAGGATCTTCCCAATGGTTTGTACTGGGATGCGGCTTCCTTGTAAATCAGGCGCAAACCATTACACTACAGTTGTCTTGAAAGCTGCATCACCCATTAATGATTTGTTAAATATGAAGCCATTTGAGTGGCACAGGTACATGGACTAATATGAAGAGACAAAGCCCCTTCAATCACTTGACCAATAAGGGTTTGGATGAGCTTACTTTCATCTTGCATTTTAGACAATTCTATTATACAGTTTGGAGAGGGATAATTTCTGTTCTGGCCTGAGTGCCCTAATACACAAGGGAAGGGTACTTAAAGGGGAACTAAACCTAAATTCAATTTTTAAAGCAAGAATACAGTGTACGTGACATCACTATTGAAGACGGTACAGTACTCTGATTAATATTGCCTTCCTGGAATAAGAATTAAACAGAACCCCCTCGTGAGGTAAGCGTTGGGTGAAATTGTTATCAGCTGCAGACCAGAAGTGACGTTGAAGTGCTTGTTGAAGACACTCGGTTGACTTGTGTGGGCTTGTCTGTTATTTTTACGCCTTATTAACCCCATTTTTTCAATAGCTTGAAAACAAATCTATTAATGCTCTTGTATGTTCCACTGTCTGGAAAGTGTCATACTGCGCCTCTTCCGCTCACTCCGGGGAGTTGTCTGTGCAGCATAATTGTTGCCTCAATGTTGAGAGTCTGAATGTTTTTTGACAATCAGTAGGTTAGATACATTTGAGTAAGCCCATTTCGTTCAAAAATGTAATGCTTCAGTGCACTGAACTACATCAACCACAAAGGCAGGTGTGTGCAGATTCATTATCGTCGTCAAATTGTTTTTTCAGCTCATCATTTTATGTATTGCATCGCTTATGGTTCTCAGACAGGTGTATCAAACCCAATGTTGTCACCGGCCACTAAAACCATACAAATCTCGTTCTCTCCTCATATAATTACATATCATATACACTACAACTGATGGACAAGGAGTTTTGAAATCAGACATCGGTGATGTAGTTTGTTCAAGTTGCTGTAAAAAGGGGCTTGTTAGCTCAAATTATGTTTTTATTTCTACATCTGACATTAGAAATTTTGCCAGAAACTGCCACCGTGCATGGATTTTATTTGATGTGTTAAGTCTTTGGGATGAACTAGAGGAGCAGTTGTTAGTTGGTAATGTTCTTTGAAAAAGACACTCTCAATCTCAACCTTAAAGAAAGTCCCGTCAGAGAGAATTTCCCTTCTTGTATATGAAATGGCAACACTCATCACCGAGCACAGCTTTAGAGTGC